CACTGACTGTTGAGGAACCTCGTTAAAATCTTGGTGTTCTTTAATATTTTGTTCTTGCATTTTATTTGATATATTTCTTGTGGGTTATAAAAGAGTTGGTTCTAAAAGGTTTGGTGCTATCTTAGCACAACAATTGGTATCAGAGCACTGGTTGCTCTTGGGTACTGTCTAGTTGCCAAAGATGTCAGATGGGCAAGATGAAAATCCTTTTGGAAGCACCTCCGGGTTTGCAAGAACTACGGTGCAAAATGCAAAGTTCGAAGTGGAAAAGTTTGATGGCACAAACAACTTCGGGATGTGGCAATGTGAGGTTAAAGATGTGTTGGCTCAACAAGATCTACTTGCCGCTTTGGGAGAAAAACCGGAAGCTATGTCGAAGTCGGAATGGGAGAAATTAAATTTGTGGGCTTGCTCTTCAATTCGGTTGTGCCTTGCAAAAACTCAGAAGTATTTTGTGATGCGGGAGACGGTAGCAAGTGTGTTGTGGCAAAAATTGGAAGACAAGTATATGACGAAGAATGCAGAGAACCGGCTACACTTGAAGAAAAAGCTCTACCGCTTCCAATACAAAGAAGGTACAAAAATGATTAGACACCTTGATGCTTTTAATAAGTTGATTGCCGACTTGTTAAATTTAGATGAGGATATTAAGGATGAAGATAAGGCCTTAATATTGTTGAATTCCTTGCCGGACTCTTATGAGCATTTTGTTACCACTATTATGCATGGTAAAGAAACTGTGAAATTTGAAGATGTGTCAAATGCCTTGATGAATTATGAAATGAGGCATAGAGATAAAAATCATGATAGTACCTCTGAAGCTTTATTTGTTAGAGGTAGATCATCGGAGAGGAGGTCATCTTCTAGCAGAAAAAAATCACAGTCTCGACCTAGAGGAAACTCTAAAGGTAGAAAACCTTTGGAAAGGGATGAATGTGCCTTTTGTCGTAATAAGGGTCATTGGAAGAAAGATTGTCCCAAATTGAAGACCAAAGGCAAAGAAAGTTCTGAAGCTAATGTTGCTGAGGTTGAAACAGATTTTTCTGATTTTGCTTTAACCACTTCCTCATCATTTGATTGTGCTACTAAGTGGGTGTTAGATACGGGTTGTACTCATCATATGACTCCTCACAAAGATTGGTTTTCAAGCTTGAAAGAGTTTGATGGTGGCATTGTGTTCATGGGAGATGACAATCCTTGCACAACAAAAAGGATTGGTACAGTTCGTTTGAAGTTGCATGATGGCATGGTTAAAGAGTTGATAGGTGTTCGGTATGTACCGAATTTGAAGAAAAATCTTATTTCTTTGGGTACTTTGGAATCCAAGGGTTTCAAGTTTCATTCAGATGGACAGACATTGAAAGTTACTTATGGTGCACTTGTTGTGATGAAAGCTCCTAGATGTGGTCATTTGTATTTATTGCAGGGAAGCACTGTGACAGGTGAAGCATCTGTAGTCTCTAAAAATATGGGCACATCTGATTCAGATACTACTAGACTGTGGCATATGAGATTAGGCCATGCCGGTGAGAAAGCTCTACAAGGGCTTGTGAAACAAGGTCTTCTTCTAAAGGGTGCCACGACTTGTAAGCTTGATTTCTGCGAGCATTGTGTCTTGGGGAAACAAAACTAGAGTGAAGTTTGGTACTGCTGTACATCAGACAAAGGGCATTCTTGATTATGTGCATTCGGATGTTTGGGGTCCTACAAAGACTCCCTCTTTGAGTGGTGGTAGACATTGGTTCGTGACCTTTGTTGATGATTATTCAAGAAGGTCTTGGGTCTACACTATGAAGCACAAGAGTGAGGTGTTGTGCATTTTCTTGGGTTGGAAGAAAATGGTTGAGAATCAGACTGGGAGAAAGATTAAGATTTTGAGATCGGATAATGGTGGTGAATACACATCCGATCCCTTCTTTAAAGTTTGCAAAGAGGAAGGAATTGTGAGACATTTCAGTGTTCGGGGAAGTGTTCGGGGAACTCCACAACAAAATGGAGTTGCAGAAAGATTGAATCGAACCTTGCTTGAGAAGGTTAGATGTATGTTGTCTCAATCGGGTTTAAGCAAGTCATTTTGGGCAGAGGCAGTTAATTATGCATGTCACATCATCAACCGGTTACCCTCAGCTGCTGTTCAGGGTAAGACACCAATGGAGGTATGGACTGGAAAACCTTCTTCTGATTATGACTATATCCATATTTTTGGTTCACCTGCTTATTTTCATGTGACTGAAAATAAACTTGATCCTAGAGCCAAAAAGGCTATCTTTCTTGGTTTTAGTAGTGGTGTCAAAGGTTACAGGTTGTGGTGCCCAGAGATGAAAAAAATTGTAATCAGCAGAGATGTGACATTTGATGAAGAAAGTATGTACAAAGTCTCTGAGAAGAATGTGAAAGATGTCCAACAGGTGGAGCTTGAGAAAGTTGCCTCTGGTACTTCAAATCCTATTTCCGCTGATGTCGAAGCCACTACAAGTGAAGAAGTTGGAGACCATGAGGATGCTGAAGAAGTTGAACTTGAAGATTCTATTCAAGTTGAAGAGCAAGTTTCACCTCAAGAGTCTATTGCCAAGAACAGAGGAAAGAGACAAATTACCAAGCCAGCTCGGTATAGTGACTATGTTTCTTTTGCTCTTCCTATTATCACTGATGAGATTCCATCCAATTTTGAGGAAGCTATTGAGAGTGAGGAGAATAAAAGGTGGTGCAATGCCATGGGTGATGAAATGAATTCTCTCTTGAAGAACAAGACTTGGGAGTTAGCTAAATTGCCTAAGGGCAAGAAAGCTATCGGTTGCAAATGGGTGTATGCCAAGAAGGAAGATGCTGATGAGAAAAGCAATGTGAGATTCAAAGCAAGATTAGTTGCTAAAGGGTATGCACAAAAGGAGGGCATTGACTACAATGAAATCTTTTCTCCGGTTGTGAAGCACTCCTCAATTCGCATTATGTTAGCTCTTGTTGCACAATATGATCTTGAGCTTGTGCAACTTGATGTGAAGACGGCTTTCCTACATGGTGATTTGAATGAAGAGATTTATATGTGTCAACCGGATGGGTATATAGTGAAAGGGAAGGAGAATTTGTTTTGCAAATTGAAGAAATCACTTTATGGCTTGAAGCAATCTCCAAGACAATGGTATTTGAGGTTTGATAAATTTATGAGAGGCCAAAATTATTCTAGAAGTCAATATGATCATTGTGTGTACTTCAAGAAGTTGCAAGATGGGTCTTTCATTTATTTGTTGATATATGTTGATGATATGTTGATTGCCTCAAAAAATGTTGAAGAGATTGAAAAATTGAAGAAGCAAATGAAGAATGAGTTTGAGATGAAGGATCTTGGTGAAGCGAAGAAGATCCTTGGCATGGAGATCACTAGAGATAGAGAGAAGGGTTTGGTCAGTTTGAATCAAAGACAATACCTTGAGAAGAAGTTGATTCGGAAGTTTGGAGTTCATGATTCAACCAAACCGGTTAGTACCCCTTTGGCTCCTCATTTTAAATTGAGTTCTCTACAATGTCCTAAAAATGATAAAGAGAAGCTGCAAATGAAAAATATACCATATGCAAATTTGGTTGGTAGTTTGATGTATGCAATGGTATGCTCTAGACCGGATATTGCTCATGCAGTTGGCATGGTGAGTCGATATATGCATAATCCAGGTAAAGAGCACTGGCAAGCAGCTAAGTGGATATTGAGATATCTCCATGGTACTCGAGATGTTGGTTTATGTTTTGAGAGAGATGACTCTGGTATTGGTCATTTTGCAGTTGGTTATGTTGATTCAGATTATGCAGGTGATCTGGATGGAAGGAAGTCTACTACAGGCTATGTGTTTTACTATGGCTAAAGGACCAGTTTGTTGGAGGTCCATTTTGCAGTCGTCTGTTGCCTTGTCTACTACAGAGGCTGAATATATGGCAGTTGCTGAAGCTGTAAAGGAGGCCATTTGGATACATGGGCTGATTAGAGATTTGGGGGTTGATCAGAAGCAGGTGGAGGTACATTGTGATAGTCAGAGTGCCATTTATTTGGCTAAGTATCAGGTTCATCATGCGAGGACCAAGCACATAGATGTGCGTTATCACTTTGTTCGTGAAATTGTTGGTGAAGGGGAAATCATTCTCCAGAAGATTCCAACTAAAGACAACCCCGCTGATATGTTGACTAAGGTTGTTGGTGTAGCCAAGTTTGTTCACTGTTTGAACTTGGCTCACATTATGCCTATTTAAAGAAGGCGTTGAGCAGTAGGGGTTTTGGAGCATTTGGCTGGGCATGAGTTGTTCTCTTGCTAGTGTTCGGGAGTGATGTTGTGTGCTAATTGTGTTGGTTGGCTTATCATGGCGTTTTTCGGAATTTGGCCAAGGTGGAGATTGTTGAATTATGGCCAAAACAAGTCATCACCTTTCGGCTAATAAAGAAATCAAAAGAAAGAAAAAAGGTGAAAGACAAATGATGATGTTTTCTTCTTTTGGGGTTTTTTATTACCATAATTATTGTTGTTGTTCGGGTAGAAGAGAAGAAAGGGTGAGCTCATTTTTGAGATTTGAGCAGAAGTGAGAAGAGTGAGCTGCCGAGAGAGAGAGAGTTGCAGAGAGCCCAAAACAGAAGAAGAAGCTGCTGCTTCATTTGATTAGTAATCATCAAAAGTAGTTGTAATCAACAAAGTAGTTGTTCATTGTATTTCTTTCTATTGTGTTTGAGAGCTTTGTAGCTTTCTATTGTATGAGAAGAAATTAATTTTTGTATATTTTTTTGGATTATTGTGTTTTTTGGGTTTTGGAGCTTGTGAACTGCTTTGGGCTGTTCTGGGCTTGTGGATTGTCACATTTCAAACTTTTATTGTAAACTTGGTTGATTGGGTCCTCCGAGGACGTACTCCAGTTACACTGACTGTTGAGGAACCTCGTTAAAATCTTGGTGTTCTTTAATATTTTGTTCTTGCATTTAATATTTCTTGTGGGTTATAAAAGAATTGGTTCTAAAAGGTTTGGTGCTATCTTAGCACAACACTTATAAGCTCATCCTTCTCTTCTTCTTTTCTCATCCCAATGTTCTCATATGGACGATCTGTTTTCCCCGGAATACACGGCTTTTGAAGCGGAGGTCCACACAGCTGAGGGTTTCCAGCGTAAGTAGAGGGATCAAAGCTTTGGAGCTGAGTTCCGATGGGAATTTCGCCAAACAAGTTGTTATATGACAAGTCCAAGACACCAAGACGATCTATTCGAGCAAGGCTTGTCGGAATTCTTCCATCTAACTGGTTTCTTGACAAATCAAGGGCATCCAATGACTGCAACTTTCCAATGTCTGGAGTTATGTGACCTGTTAATCAGTTTCTCGATAGGTTTAAAGAAACCAATCCAACTAAATGACTGATTTCTTTTGGTATCTCCCCGATTAATCTGTTGCTTGAGAAATCAATTCTCTTCATAAGCCCCAAAGTGTTTCTGTATACTTGCATGCTTCCCTTCCATATGAAGGCCGCATCATCCTCATACTCATCTGAAATCTCGGGCGCTTCGTAATAATGTGTGATCTTCATATTTGGATTTCCTTTCTGAGCTAGAGTAGTCAAATTATTGAAGCACTTGGGTATACCTCCCGAGATGTTGTTCATAGAGAAATCCAAAATCTGAATGCGTGATAGACGACATAACTGTGATGGCATGCTTCCATTGAATTGATTTGATGAAAGCATTAGGATAACCAAATCCTGAAAACTAACTCCTAACCATTTTGGTATAGGTCCTGATAATGTGTTATTTCCAAGATCAATAACTCTTAAACCTGTGCAGTTCTTCAACGATGAAGGCAATTCTCCCACAAACCTGTTGCTTCTTAACTTCAGCGTTTCCATCCGAAATAAGGAGCCTATTGTGGCAGGAATTTTCCCAGAAAGAGCATTGTAACTCAAATCGAGCATGACCATATTGTCCAAATATGTCAAGAAATCTGGAAGTTGTCCATAGAGATTGTTACTTGAGAGATTAAGAAAGGTTAAACTTGTTGCGGTAGGTGCACGCAACCAAGTAATTGGCCCGGAAAAATTATTATTTGAGAGATCGAGGAATGACGCTTGTGATAGAAATGAGGGGATTGGACCTTCCAATTTGTTGGAACTCAAATGTAATTGAGGGGAATATGCAAACTCCAATGTCAAATTTGCAAGTATTGTTCCTCCAATTTGATTGTGTGAGAGATTCATGAAGGCCAAATTAGGAGACATTCCTCCCTAAAACCAACTTGGAAGGATATCGAAAATTCCAGCATTTGAAATATCAAGTCTAGAATAAAAGTTCTGAGTTCGAAGCCATTGTGGAAAATTTGGACCTACCTTGCAAGAACCTAGAATTATATAATCCAATTGGAAAGGAGAAATCCAATCTGAATGGAAGTTTAAAACTAGAGAGTTAAAGGACAAATCCAAATATTTCAATCTGGCAAGTCGTGAGAAATGGCTTTCGGAAATCACCCCTCCCAAATGATTCATACTAAGGTCGATACTCTCGAGCTTAGACATTTTCCCAATAGTTTCAGGAATTATTCCACTTACTTGATTGCCAGAGAGATCTAAATCTTTCAACGACAAAAACTTTATAAGATTAGGAAATGGCCCGACTAGATGATTGTAAGAGAGGTCCAGAAACTTTAATGAGTTTTGAGCGCATGCAGACATTAATATTTGAACCAACTGGGAAAATTGTCCATTCAGTCTGTTGCTCCTGAGGACCAACGATCGCAAACTACATAACCTAGCAAAAGAATGCGGATTCCATCCTTCAATTTGGTTAAAAGAGAGATCAAGATAGGAAAGCGAGGTCAAGTTTCCGATAACACCAGGAATTGGACCAGTTAAATTGTTGCCAATGAGGTCAAGATAAACAAGGCTTGTACTGTAGGTTGACAACCATACGAATATCGAAGATGTGAGACGGTCCAAACTGAAATCACCATGAGCAAGATATATAGAAGAAGAAGAATTTGTGGTAAAGAGAGTGGAAGGCATTGGAGGAGAATGAAGAGAACAATCCCTTAATGAAAAGTCCCTTAGCTTAGGGAGCTTATTAATTGTTTCGAGCCAGTCATAAGTGTTATTGAGATTGTTATAACTCAAATCCAAATGTGTTAATGAAGAAAGACGAGGGAGCCAAGAATTGAGATTTTGCACAACATTAGTAGCAAAGTGGTTGTAGGCAAGATTGAGTTGTAGGAAGTGTGAAAGGTTTCCAAGCTGACTTGGAATTCGACCACCAAAAGAAGCGTCAGAGAGATCGAGGTATCTTAAATTGGATAGGGAACCAATGAAATCTGGAATTTGGCTCCCATTGAAGTCAATTCCATAGAGGCTCAAATATTTCAAATGCTGCAACTCAATCAGTTTAGGGCTTATCGTCTTATCTTGCAAATCATATACTAGAAGATCAAGTTTGATAACATGATCACCTTTGGTTTGGTTGCTGCAGAAAACTCCTTCCCATGTGCAACAATCAGGAGATCCCCAAGAAGTGAGTTGGTTGTATTCATCCACGAGGCCTTGTTTGAAAGCAAGGAGTGCTTCCCTTTCCCTCTCTATGCACCTCACCGCCGCACCAGAAGCATCATCGTGGCCAAGTGCTACTCCTGAAGAAACTTTATTATCGAATCCAAGGGATAGAGAAGGGTTGAAATGTTGTAACGAAATTAGCACCGCAATCAAAGCATAAAAGTGCATCTTAATATTCAAATCAACGTAGAGGCGATTGAATAATCAAGAAGCAGCACAACTATTTGGGGTTTGTTAATGGAATGTAATATCAAAAAAGAAGGGAGCACAATGAAGGTGCAAGTGTACATGGATGTCTGAGTACTTCACAAACAAGCTTGCATCGAATATATATATACACAATTAGTTGAAGCAAATTGTAGCTAAAACAGTGACATGGAAAAAGCAAGTTAAAGTGACCAACCAACCCACAATATGTGCTTGACTTGGCTCAATGCTAGTGGCCAGGTATACGCAAAATTAAATGATTTTTTGCCTTGATTTGGTTTAGTTTTGATTTTAATTGTATTTAATCTTTCAAACGCTGCAACCCACATGGAGTCATATGCCCAATTGCCCATGCAACAAGACTATGCATACTGGTTTTATGTAAGTAGGAAAAAGGAAAAGAAAATTCATGTTTTTTAGTTTTTTGTTCTTTTGATATAGGATCAGAATCTGTAATGTGTTGAATTAGAGTGAACTAACATTATCATAGACTAAAGAAAAGACAGTGAATGGTGTTAGGCATTATTGCATATTTCAAACTAGAGAGTGTCTTATACTTCATATTGCTAGGAAAAACTAGAGTAATAACTTTACAAAGACCAAAGATCAACACGCTACAAAGATTATATATATATATATATATATATAGCAATCATGACTTTGTATGGGGCATAGAAAATGAACAATTTATTGGGGGAGTCAACCACTGAGTTCTCTATCATGACTTCATATGAGGGTGAGGGGCGTAGAAAATTAACAATTTATTCGGGGAGTAAACCACTGAGTTCTCTTAGTCCATCACCCGAGCTCAATCCAAAGATTACGATCCAAATTATGAGTTTGAAGCTATGAGAATTGCTTGCAAGACTCGCTAGGCATTTGTTATTTTTATCCCATCATCAATTCTAGCTCGGACCAACTTCTTAAAAACATAAAAATTAAAAAAAAAAAAATTATAGAAATTGTTCATTAAATCAACATGGAGAACTCAAACAACGAATGACTTTTCCCTCCATTATCTCATCAGACATTTCTTTCCTATTTTACCCCTTTAACTTTCAATGCCCCATCAGTCATGTTCTTATCGTCATTCACTTAACCAAAATTACAACTCTTTCTAGGACTGAAAAGGGAAAATTGCAGTGAATCAGAAGCTTGGTCAATCTCATCTGGGGACTGTTGTGGGACAAATTTCATTAGTTGTTTTAAGTCAAAGTATAGTTCTAGTGAAGCTATACTTGATGTTGTGATCATAATGCTTTACTTTGAGATAAATGTATGATGATAGTCCATTGTGAGATTTGATAAGCCTTAGCGATCTACACCCTCATGTATACTTGTAATTATATATATTTTATTTAGACTCAATGAATGAGGAAATAACTTCTTCAGCAAATACAATTTTCACATTATATTATGATGCTTGTTTGTTGTACAGATTTCTAGAGTGCTAATATCTAACTTAATTGATTTACAATTCTAATTCTTTTTTGTTTTTTTTCGTTTAATAAAGGTATAAGTATAAGTATGAGCTTAAGTATTGATTTACACTCAAATGTTGAAGATTGTGACAAGGAAGTTGATGTATGTGTTGATGAAGATCTAATGCTCTAATACATAGAATGGATTCATTGCCACCATGACGTCTCGTTTCAGCAAAACAATGATAAATAATTTTTTTAACACATGTCATTTGTTTAATGGATCAAGACGCTGCATGCGTGGCGTTTAACCCATTTCATATAAGTTGCGGCTTTGTAAGTGATGTTTTACCTCAATGCTTAGACCTTGGTATCAACATCCACTACAACTAGTTTCGACACTCTGCCACCCCATTCTGTCATTTTGATATAGTTAAAAAAAAAAAAAAAAACTATTTGAAAGGAACTAGTCAAATACTAAATATATTATACATCTACTACAAAAAGTAGATGAGGAGCTCAATTGGAAAATAAAAGTGAGCCTTGACATGAGTGGTAAAATGGGAAAGAAAAGTGAGCCTTCTCCATGTTGTTGTGTGTGCGAACAATTTCTCTTAATAAGTGCATATTTTTTTTAATATTACATAATTACTGTTTTGTCCTCCTTATGTAAATATTGTGTATCAAAAGTGAGGGTAAAATAGGAAAAATAAGTATATGATTGTCATTTTCTCAAAATTACTATTTTGCCCTTCTTTTCTCAATAATGTGTATCAAAAGTGAAGGCAAAATAGGAAAAAAAAAGTTGACAAGGAGGGTTCTCTTAATAGTATAGATTTCAAATTTTTCTTAAAGAGCGAGAATGTCAGGTACCTTGCGAGTCTTGCGAGTTAGAAGTTAGCAAAGCACTTCACCAAATCACCACATTCGAGATATTTGCCTGACCGAGCTCGATTGTGAATTGGCAATGCTGCATCAGCATTTAAGCCATTGAAGAACGTAGTTAGTTCTTAGTATTCCTAGCATGCGCCCCACGTAGGTTGTGTACTTTTTAGGACCAACAACACCACAATTAAAGTATGAAAGAGTTTTAGGCGCCTACCTACACCCACCATCTTAATTCAACAAAATCAACGCAACGATGATTGAAGAATGAAAAAGAAAAACTATATACTCATTTGAGCATCTCCAAAAGTGATGTCAAATACTAAACATCAAACTCAAATTTGATGGCTTACGAGTCACTTTGACTTCTTCATTAGTTTTAATTTCCAACCAATATGTTACTTTATTCACTGTTCTAAAAATTGGCAGTGTTTCCGATATTTAGATCAAATCGTCCAACAAAATCACGTAAGAGTTGGGCGCCCACCTAAGTGCTCTCTAGGTAATGGTTTTTTTTTTTTTTTTGCATACTGTCTCTCACTTGTCATCGGTCTGTCGCATCTCTCGTCTTTGCTCGTTGCCACATCTCTCGAAGACAATGGAAGATCTAATGAGACGAGGGAGAGTGGGAGAGAGAGAGAACTAGAGAACAGTTCAGACACAAGTCTGCAATTGCAGAGAATGTAGTGGGACGGCGGTACTTAGAGCATAGCAACTTACACGGAGGTTGTTCTCACGAAAGATTCCTGATGTATTAGTAGGAGTTTGATGCTCTGCGTTATTACAGCATGCTACTAATCAGTTTGCTTGTCCCTTACGAGCTCTCAACTTCCTCAATACCATGAAAAGCTTCAAAATCCTACACATTACACACAAGAAAACAATCCAATCATAAAAAACCCATCACCGCTTCGAAACCAATCACAATAAATTTGACGCGAAACTGAAGTTTGGAGCTTTACCATTTGATTAGCTGATGAATTCAACATAATAGCAATCAAAGCATCCAAACAAGCTCCTTGCTCAATCACGCCACAACTCGGTAATATATTCATCAAAACCTAGAAAAACCCAAATACAAAAAACTGCATTCTCATCTCAGTAATCCAACCTCCATAGATTTTGGTTGAGCTATTTAGCTACATTGAGTACCTGAATGGCCTTGTGCTGATAAGCCAAAACCGTCTGGATGAAGCAGGCAGCAACCCTCCAAAACCCTAAGAGCAAGCGAGACCCCGGAATCGGTTGAAAGGCTCGTGATCTTCAGCGGCTCAACGCCGAATATGTGATCCAAACTCCACACGATCTCATTGTCCGAATCTTTCAGCGAGTGCCGAAACAGAATGGGCACCACTGTAAAACCATAATTAAATCAATTTCAACAATCAGAAAATTAAACAAAAAATCAAGCAGATACTAGGAATTTTGTAATTTTCTGGTTACCTTGAAGCTCAGGGAGCGATTGCTTCTGAGAGAAGAGGTTGATGGTGGAACCGGACTCGGCGACCGATCGGAGGAACTTGAGGAGGCCGCAAACGCGGAGGAACGACAACTTGGCGGAATGTCGCGGAGGTCGCTCCGGAGCGCGAGCGTGACCTCGCTATAGACTTTCTGCTCGTCAACAAGTTGACCGGATCGCCTACGGCGGTCTGGTTCATATTCCGACGAGGCCTTCGGTGTTAGTCCCTCGCCCCACTTGCAATTTCAATCTTTCTTCATGTACATCGCCTCAGTCTTTTACTCTCACTCTTTGAAATTTCAATCTTTCTCCTCTGCTTTTCGCCCCGGAAATGTTCTGATCAAAACGACCACGCTTTTGAGATGTCTCACATCCTTGTTTCGGTTTAGTTTTGTAAGTAAGTTTAGCCATTGCATGCATATGAGATGTCTCTCATCCTTGCTGCCTGCTGGTCACCTGAGTACTATTTTTACTTGATTACTCACTTGGAACGAAACAAGTTTATATCTCGTTAGATGAGTAAAATTCATCAATCTAAAACATTCACATTTGTGTGTCACAAGATTTGAATTGTGCAATCCAAATACATCGTAATTAAATTGCACATTTCAAATCATGTGACATACAAGCGTATTTGGGGCGTTGAGTAAGATTAAAAACCGTTGTAGATTTGTTTCTAAGAGTGCTGAAGTTTGTAAGCATGGTTGCTTATGATGTATATCGTAAGCAGTTTAAGATATTACCAAAAGGAAGATCTCATATTCAATTTTGTATTACTAATCAAAAGGTTTTAAAAACAACAATACACACAACCTTAAATTTTAGCGAATTCATAGAATAACAATCACATTTGGGAGTGAGTAATCATATTAAATTGCAAACTTTTAATATGTTTATCACGTCATAAGCATACAACAGACTGAAATAAAGAAATTTGCACACTTACAAATTAGTGTGTTACTCGACGTATAAATAGATTTCCACATGAACTTAAAGTTTGGTGTCGTCATAAAGAATACGGTTACTGTAAATAGCCTCAAAAACATGTTTTCTAAAACCTTTTTAGAGCTCATGCATGTGTTTTTTGGTGTTTTGTTAATTACGTTGAAATTTCATTGCTTTTCTTTGCGTGTTTATGTTAGAATTCCTCTGTCCCACATCGGCCAGAAGGCTTGAGAACAAGCCATTTATATAGA